CAGTATTGGGCCGAATCGGGTAGCCACACCTCTTTTGTTCCCGGGGGAGAATTTGAGAAGGGAATTTATTTTGAGAGCAAGAAACTACTTCAAGAAATGGTGAAGATGTATTCTATTCAGAGGAATCAATTCTACACCACAGTGACCTCGAATGATGGTGTCCTATATCTGCGATGCAAGAAGAAATGTGGTTGGATGCTACGGGGTACCAAATCGAGTGAGCACTCACGTGGTTTTACCATAGTCACGTACAAAGGCCCGCATCGGGAGACATGTATCACTGAAGTACTATCTAATGATCACCCACACTTGGATTCGTTCGTAATAGCCGAGTATGTGAAGTCCTTTGTGCGGAAAGATCCTTCGTTGAAAGTGGAATTCATACAGGAACTGATCTCGAAGAAATTTCATTTCGATGTCCCGTATCGACGAGCGTGGTATGCCAAGGAGAAAGCTATAGCTGAGATATTTGGGGATTGGGAGAGTTCATATGGCAGACTTCCCCACTTCATGCAAGCACTCCTACGGTCGAACCCGGGAACATGTGTCGTATGGAAACACAAAGCTTTAGTGGATGGTGTATACTACAGCAACATGGAAGTGTTTGAACGAGTGTTTTGGGCCTTCGGTCCTTGTATCGATGGCTTTAAACATTGTATGCCTGTTATCTGTATCGATGGGACACACTTGTATGGGAAGTATAAAGGAACACTTTTGGTTGCTACGAGTGTTGATGCAAGCTTCCAAGTATTTCCTATTGCATTTGCGGTGGTTGAAGGGGAAAACACTTCCAGCTGGTCTTGGTTCCTAGGTTGTATTCGAGATCGTGTCACGCAACGGGATGGCCTTTGTGTTATTTCTGATCGGCATCCTGGGATCATTGCAGCAATGAATGATCCTAATGTTGGATTCACCCAGCCCCGAGCGTATCATAGGTTTTGTGTCCGCCACATAGCCTCTAACTTGAAGACTCACGTGCGAAGTAACGACATGAGAGACATGTTCAAGGCCGCTGCGTACCAAAGGCAAGAAAGAAAACTTCAAGCTGATCTGTGTTTCATTGGTGAGGCCAGTCCCAAGGCCATTGAGTACATTGCTCAAGTCCCGTTCCCTATGTGGTCTCTGTTTCACGACAGTGGTCGCAGGTATGGTATATGTACTACTAACTTCTCGGAGACATTCAACAATGTGCTGAAAGGAGCTCGGTTTCTACCGATTATGTCCCTTGTTGAGTTAACCTTCCACAAAGTTAACAAGTATTTCACTTTGAGAAGGGAGTCTTCTGAGGCTAGGTCTAATCAGGGACTTCCATACCCCCCAAAGGTCACTGCCATCCTCGAGAAGAACACCGCTAAAGTTTACCAAGTGACAACAGAGAGGGGAGAGAGAGTTGGTAATAAAGGAGGCCACAAGCATACGGTGAACTGGCAGTTTAGAACGTGTACGTGCAACAAACCGAAGATATTCCACCTCCCATGTTCTCATGTGCTAGCAGTCTGTGCTACATACTCACTATCAGAATGGCCTTGGGTGGACCCTTTGTTGCAGTCGGCCGCCTACATGAACACCTATGCACCACAGTTCTGGCCGATCCCCTGCGAGACAACCTGGGCACAGTGGGCACAGTACGTAGGCCCTAAACTCATTCCGGACGGCACAATGATACGTGGAAAAGGTCGTCCAAAGTCGAAGCGCATACGCAATGAGATGGATGACAGCAACCGGCCCCCAACCAAATGCAGCCGTTGTCACCAGCAAGGTCACAATCGCACTACTTGTCCATCTAGACCAACATAGGACCTAAGTGTATATGTGTTATTTGATATAGTAGTATGTAGTGGTGTTATTTTGATGAAACAGTTATAATTTTCTACATTATGTGTTATTGTGTTCAATTCGATGAATTTTATTTTGTACGTTGGATGTTCGAGATTTCCTGTTTATGCCTTTCAATCGAAATTAGTATTCAATATATTGTGTTAGTGTTTGGTGTGTAACGTTTTCAATGAACAGATATCATGGACGTACGGGATAGGACACCCGGACCTGTTGACCCTTCTGTCCTGACACTACAGGACACCCATCGGAGCGTCGACGTATGGAACCTGACGGTAATGATTCATCTTTAACGTTTTTGGATTCTTTGATGTACTATCTTTTGTTACTTATAAATGCTCCTGTGTTTTCAGGGTGACGTAGCGAAGCCACTACAGTGCAGGCACTACAAGACCCCTGGGTTGTCCATGATCGCTGCCTTGAGTACGTGACGTACGCTGGCTTTGGCGGTGTACATCGCTTGGGATTCAGGGAGATCGACCGACACCTTGTCACGGCGTTAGTGGAGAGATGGAGGCAGGAGACGCACTCCTTCCACCTACCAGTTGGGGCGGCGACTGTGACATTGCGGGACGTGGCAATACTGACGCGCCTTCCAGTACAGGGGACTGCGGTGACGGGATCATTTCTAGTCGATCCTGTTGGATTGGTTGTGCGGGTTCTCGGGGTGCAGCCGGGTCCCAACGATGTTAAGGGCTCCGCCTTGAGGACGGTCTGGTTACGAGATACTTTCAAGGGCTTGCCTGCGGACGCCGATGACGCCACAGTACAGAGATACGCTCGAGCGTACTTGTTCTTCCTCATATCCGGCGTGTTGTTCGGCAACAAGAGCGGGAGCCACTTGCAGCTTTTTTACCTACAGCTGTTAGACCACGACTGGGAGCATATCCTTGGATACAGCTGGGGTAGTGCCTCTTTGGCGGTGTTGTATCGCCAACTTTGCAGAGCCTCACGGAGTGGTGCGCTCGAGATTGGAGGACCTCTGTTTGAGCTTCAGGTATACTACGTATATTATCACAAGCGAATTATGCAATGAGTAATGTCATATTTAACATAGTTTTGTGTTTTGCTATTGAAGCTATGGGCTTGGGAGCACATCCACGTAGGAAGACCAGGTAGGCCTACTGTACATCGTCCGGGGCAGCAGGACCAGGATGACCAGTATGAGCCGTACATCGCTCCGCCTCGCCTCGCCCTGCAGCTGATGAGGCTTACGGTTGCAGGTTTGTAACAATTGTCATTTTTTTCCCATATACGATTTCATTTTGTACACATACTTACCAAATTTGTTGCCCCAGGTGGATGGTCCCCAGACTCACACAGGCACATGCGGCGATGGGTCTCCCATACTACCGAGACGCCCTTGATCGACTCACTGAGGATCAGGTACAAACTCTGAAGACATTTGTAATCATTTAGGTACTGTGTATACTGATTGTGGACTAACTTATTTAGGATGTGTTATTGCAGATCACATGGGATCCGTATGTACCGGAGTTGGTAGATGTCTTGCCTGTACATCTACTGGAGCATCAGGGAGAGTGGCGTGCCCGGGTCCCCCTGATCTGTTTCGAGGTTGTGGAGAGTCACCTACCTGACCGCGTCATGCGACAGTTCGGACTGCAGCAGCCTATTCCCCAGAACTGTGACACTGTCGTGCGCCTTCATGACATTGACCGTCGGGGAAAGACGGAGACAAACTGGGCACTGGAGCATTGGCAGTATCTTCAGCTATGGGAGCAACGGTTGGGTCATGTCGTTCAGGGTTATCCCATGCAGGGCGTTATGGATCATGACGATCCGTACATGGTGTGGTACAGGCTTATCACACGCCGTTTCATCAACCCCAGCTACACACCACCGTCCACCCATTACCACCCGGCACATGACGTCATTAGCGGATATGTGAGTTTCTTTTACTATACTTATCATCCTCATTTTTTAACTTTTTTAAATATCATGTACTTGACTGATCGATGATTACTACAGGCAGCGGATATGGTGGCGATGTATGATGCACTGTCCCTCGCCCTTACAAACGGACCCACCAGAGCCCAGGTTCAGCGGATGCGAGATATGTCCGCGACTTCCTTACGCAGACATGGTCACGGTCATCTCATCCAACAGCGGGACGGTGATGATGGTCACTCCATCCATTCGCGGTTCGACCCCGGCCAGAGTAGCAGTGGAGGTGATCCTACGTCGCACACAGAGGCAGAGGAGTACATCTTCCACAGTTCTGCACCCTTCAGAACCCAGGAGGACGCATCGTCCAGCCAGCTCACTCCCCCCCCCCCGCGCCGGAACCCATTCACCACCATTCACCATTACACTCGGTGTCGTCCAAGACGAAGGGACGACAGTGAGGCTAGGGAAGGGTTACACCAAATTGATGAGTAGTGAACGTATTGTATCATTGTTTTGTCCTTTTTCCTAGAATGCTGTATATAACGATTGCAGCGCATTATCAATACAAGCCATGCTGGTTGAATGAATCTGTTTGTGTTTTGAAGTTTTGTTTGCTTATTTATCCAAATCGGATTTATGTCAGTCAAAATAGATCCTTCAGGGCTAATGTACATTAAACAAACAGACATTTGGAATCCATAGTCGAAAATGGGGAAGAAAGGATAGCCCGTGGTGGTTAATGTGGTTGTTCATGGTGGTTTTAGTGTTGTTGGTTGTGGCGGGTGGTTATCGACGGTTGTTGAATGGTTGGGGCTGGTGGTGGAGCTGGTTGAAGTGTTGTTGGAGGTCAAAAGTGGTGGCAGATGGTGGTCGATGGTGGGGGTTGTTGGTGGATTGTGGTGGCAAGAATCATGGCAGGGGGTGGTGGGTGGGGGCAGAAGAAAGTGGCAGATCAGTGGCAAAAGGCTGATTCTGCTGCTGTTTTGCACACCAGCAGAGAAACGCTGTCCCAGACAGCGTTTTAGGTTGAAAATAAGACGCTGTCTGAGACAGCGTTTTAGGTACAAGGAAGTTTGTACATAAAGCGCTGTCTGGGACAGCGTCTTTCGTATAACTGTTTTTGTTTTTTAAAAACATTTTTATAAATAAAAGACAATTACAAAAATTTAAAAAAAAAAGGTCAACAACAAAGACGCTGTCCCAGACAGCGTTTTTAGGTTGATTTTTTTTTTTAAAAAAACGCAGGCATTAAACGCTGACCGAGACAACGTTTTAGCCTGGAAGCTTAGTTTGGTAAATACTTTTGCCACGCAACCATTTTGGTTAATATTTGCCAAAATTGGCTCACTTTGAAAAAACGTCCCTACACAAAGGGTATAAAAGCTAACCCTCGTCCGTGGCATTATCGCCACCCTCCAAGCAAATTCAACAATTATACGCACCTCACATAAGCAAAACCCAAAAAAATACCAAAAAAAAAAAAAAAAAAAACGAAACACACCAAAACGGCAAAACCCCAGACTCTGGCCTTTCTCTCTCTCTTCCCTCTCTCAGTTAATCAGAGCAAAATTGAGATTATACTAAGAGAGAGACTGATTTAAATCCCTTAAATTGGCGCAAATTTCTGATATAATTCATCAAATTAGCCGTTGAACAAGAAACCCTTTTGTTCATTCATTCCCGCCATGGTTACTCAGGTGGTTGAGGCCAATTCTTCAACCCCACCTCCTTCTTCTCTTGATCATGTTCAGAAAACCAAGACTTTGATTTGTGCTCTTAATCTTCTCTCTCGTGACATTCCTCTTCCTCCTGAAGTTTTCGCCTCGGTTTCTTCTATCTATCGCGGCAACGATGGTGATGTTGATGAGGGTGTTTCGCCTTCCGGTGATGCTCAATTGGGTGATTCTTCCTCTAAATCGAATAAAGTGAGGATTTTTTTTTATTTATTTATTGTTTTAGATTTATGATGAGTTTTGTTTGAATTTTGATTTTGTGGTGAATTTGGGGTGTTTTTTTTTTGTTGGAATTTTGTTTTTTTCTTGCTGATTTGATTGTTTAGGTGTTTGTTCTTTTGATTTTTCCGGGTTTTCTTTGATGGGTTTTGTTCAATTTGTGATTTTGATTGAATTTGAGCTGCTCTAGTTTTGAATTTTTCAGAATTTGGTTTCTTTGCTTGTATTGGAATTGTTGTTTTTTGCTTGATTGAATTGTTTAGTTGATATCTTTTTGGGATTCTTGAAATTTCTGATAATTTTTTATTTATGGTATTTAATTGGATTTTTGGGTATTAATATTTTGTTGGACATTGTTCTCCTAAGTTAATCTAAGCTGTTTGTTGTGTGCTTGCTGTTGTATTTGATTTGATTGGTAAAATTGGGTTGCAGGACGCATCTTGTATCTCTAGTTATGGGGATTTAATTATGGAATTTGAGGATGCTGTGGTTAAGCAACGACCGAAATGCATGTCCAGTAGCGCTCTGACAGAATTGAATGAGAGCCGTTTTCAGAGCCGGGTTGAGCATCGTTTGACTGAACTTGAAGGTTGGTGTATTTTATCATACTTTGTATCACTGTTAGGTTATGACCTGTTATTTGAGTTCTTTTCTGTTAGCTTTTGACTTGTTATTGAGTTGTTATTCATAAATAGTATATTGTGCTCTTTTATTCGTGAGTATGAACTGTGTGGCTTCATTGGGAGAATGCTTACTCAAGATTCTTGGAAGATGTTGAGCTTCAAAATCGGTCACATCTCACATGATTGGTTTAATATATGGGCCCGTAAAGTAATTTACTGTTCCCAATGGCTGTTCTTTCTGCCTGTGAAGATCCTCTTGCTGATGGAGAGACCATTAATTACTACTTTCAGTGTGATAAATAATTGTGCTAAATATATGTATCGTAAACTCAGCTGTGCTTGTTGAACTGGTGTTTGATTACTGATGACGAAAGGGTATTCTAAAGGATTTACTTTGTCCACATTGTGGTGCTTTCATGCATTTGCATGTAATAATCTTTGAAAGTATACATTTAGGGCTTGTAGTCCTTTAATTCTCAGCTGTCCGCTTTTCAAGCATCAGTAGCCCAATGTGTCTTCTTTTCTGGCAAGGTCACAATGTCTTAGGCATTGATGATTTAAGACAATGAATTGATGTATTATTGACTTTATTTACTAGCTCTGTGAATGTGAAATGGTACTTTTAAGTTTTAACTTTATTTTCTGGTGAAATGGGTTATCTTTAGTTGGAAGGAATTTCTTTTGTGTGGGGTATAACTCTGTTAACAAGGTATTTATACTTTTTTTAGGTAAAATTAGTGCTGATCCACAGTAAACCAGATTTTTGTGTGTTATGGACTGCAGTGATGCGTTTATTGTTTACTTTACTTGCATGGTTGAACTTGATGGGCTATATTAGGTTAATTTCGCTACTAAAATTGAATTTTTTATTAAATACCAAGTAAAGTTTCCCTTAAAGTTTGCTGATATGTTGCACTATCCATTTCATACCGTATGAGAATTTAATATGTTGATTATGCTCTCTATTTTACTAATTCTTTATTATAAAACCAGAGCTACCTTCAAGTAGAGGCGAGGATTTGCAATCAAAGTGCTTGCTTGAGCTTTATGGTTTCAAGGTAAATGCTATGCTATTTCTTTTGTGAGCTGTTTGGTTAAAGCCAATACAAAATTGGGGAAGTACCTACCTCCTGAGCTTATTGTATCAAATCTTGGCTACTTTATGAGCGTTATGACTAGCTTTTGAATCAAGAGCCAGGACTGTTAAGATCTCAGATGTCACTGAATTCTCTTGGGTTCTTTCAATTTTTTTTGTTTTTATAACCATTTGAATGTGTAGTCTATCCAATATTATATTTGAACTGGCTGGATAACATGCTCTGTTTTGTCTATTCAATCAGCTTGCAGATCTGCAAAGTAAGGTCCGTTCTGAAGTAAGTTCAGAGTATTGGCTGCGCCTCAAATGTGTGCATCCTGAAAAGCAGTTATTTGATTGGGGGATGGCGCGATTTCCCCGTCCTTATTATGGTGTAGGACACCCTTTTGCTAGAGATGCTGATGATCAATTGAGGAAAAAAAGAGATGCAGAGGTGATGTGATTACTATTTCTGTCTTACTCTATCCCCTCCTCTCTTACTTGAGTACATTCTTCATCCCCTTCACTTCTATATGTTTTGCGCTTAGTAGAGTTTCCATCTACTGCTTCAAAAAAGTTGTGCATGTGATAATGATTAGCTGACTAACATGTGAAATCAGAGGACAAAGGATTTAGTGAAGGTCTGATGAAAGCACACTATCTCCAAAAGGGAATAGGTTAAGGGTTGTTATGCATATTTTAGTTTCCTTAAAGGATGATTCAAATTTGAGTCGGAACTTTCTATTTCAAATTTAGTGTCATTGTTATGTTCAGAAGTAAGCTAATAGTTGGTGTATAATATTGATTTGGTGAACTGTGTAATTGCAGAGATTATCCAGATTTGAAGAAGAGGAGAAGAACTTTGTGGAGACTAGAAAAAGGAAATTTTTTGCAGATTTGCTCAATGCAGCTCGTGAGTTCCAGTTACAAGTTGGTTCTATTTCAAAACGCCGGAAACAGAGGAACGACGGGGTCATGGTATTTTTTGTTTTTCCATTTGCTGTCAATTTTCTGCGACTTTGATAGCTGTAAAATTTTTTGAAAAAGTGAGGGAAAGGGGAAGGGGAAGGGCCAGGGCCAGGGAATAGAGAATGTGGAGGCATTATTTAGTATAAGATATTTTCTGAATCATTGATTTTCTAGGCGTGGCATGGAAGGCAAAGGCAACGCGCTACAAGGCAAGAGAAAATGAGGATGGATGCTCTCAAAAAAGATGACCAGGAAGCATACATGAAAATGGTCGAGGAGAGCAAAAATGAGAGATTAACTATGCTTCTAGGAAAAACAAATGATCTCCTTGTTTCTCTTGGAGCTGCAGTTCAACGACAAAAAGATGCAGAACATTTTGATGGCATTGAGCCATTAGATGAGTCTGATGTTGATATTCAAGAATTAGATGTCTCGAAAGATGGAACTCCTATCCCTGATGAAGATATTGATGCAAGCGAAGAAGATTTTGGCAAGGCAGGCAGTTTACTTGATGGTCAGAAGAAGTATAATTCAGCTGTCCACTCCATTCAGGAAAAGGTAAACAAGTTTGGAATTTGGAGATGGGTCTTTGGGATCATAATAATATTTACTTAATGTTCTATTGCTAATTTAATTATATCAAAAATGAAATTAATGATCGAAAATCTATGAAGTCATGCTGTCACTGCTTTGATCATAGTTGTTTGGTGTCTATCCTTGGAGGTGGAAAATGGCACCTTTAACTGTTCCAGGCCAGAAATCTATTAATAATCTTTTGGACCACTTTCTTGGCATTGCTTTGGCTTGTGGCAATTATGTGGTAGGGGGATATCTCTCCCTTTTGTAAAATTTTATTTTATTTATTTATTTATTAATTTTTTTCATTTTTTTTACTATGTATTTTAATTTTCAATAGGGAAGCTTATCATCAATTATATGGAGCACTTATGTTAAATTATAATAACTATTCTTGTGATTAAAAAGATTGCCTAAATGCAAGCTGAACACCGAGCTCTGCTTCCAAGTATTACAACAAGAATGCCACGAACATAGCAGAAGCAGTTGTGATCAGTATGTTATTTTAAATCCCTGCTTTAGAGAACACCCATTTGGCTCTAGATACTCTGCACTTTGCCATTCTTTTTTTCTTGGCCACTGATATGAAGCAGAACAAGTCTAGAATCATATACTTGACCAAAACTTCAGATCTTAGTTGATATTCCTCCCTTTGACAGTATGGCTGCAAACACATTGCTGCCTGAGCTTCCCTTGCAGGATTCTCTGTAATCGTATTAGCTTTTATTGTGGCATTCTTGTCCACGAGGCACAAGCTGAGCAAGCTGACTACCTTTTCCTTAAATTATTGAAAGGAAGCTTGAGCAGCTGGTTGGATCAAACAAAATGATTTGATATTTAACAGTTCTTATTTTCTTCTAGAACTCTACAGTAGTACCTGAAATCAGATCTACCTTTGAGGCAAACACCTGAGCCATGGAATTTACCATCTAATTTAATACCAAAGTGCACACCTTTTTCCGGGCAACTATAGCAGTTTTCTCAAAAAAAAAAAAAAAAAAAAAAAAAAGCCTTGTTTGGTCACAAGTAAAAACGTTTAGATTGCACAATCATTTGCGAAACTCTATGAACTGCAGTCTCTCTTCTGTGACTAGAGGCTGTTGAATCACTTATTCTGATATTAGAATTTGAGGCAGGTTAGCCAGATTCCATCTGCTTATATGAAGTAATATATGTGTGGTTTATGACTTGAAAGTATTAACACAGCACACTGTAGTTGACCGTTAGACTGTTGCTCCCTACATTATTGCTTTATTAATTTTGAAGATGATTGCATAGAAGTTTTAAAGGTTATGTTGTACCCTGAGCATGACCGATGCAGTATGGAAATTCTTTGCTAATACTTTAAAAACAAATTTTATAAATAAGGCTTGTGCAATTTTCTACAGGTAACAGAGCAACCATCAATGCTTCAAGGTGGAGAGCTTAGACCATATCAGTTAGAGGGTCTCCAGTGGATGCTTTCATTGTTCAACAACAATCTGAATGGAATATTAGCAGATGAGATGGGATTAGGGAAAACTATTCAAACCATTGCTTTAATTGCATACCTATTGGAGGTAAAAGGCGTGGGTGGGCCTCATTTAATTGTAGCACCGAAGGCTGTTTTACCTAATTGGGTTCATGAATTCCAAACATGGGTTCCCGGGTATATAATTTCTGCTTAGTTTCTGCTATGTCATTTCCTAAATTTCATATTCCACAGTACTTATAGTCAATTGATTTTTAAATATAATTTCTTTTTGATTTAGTATTGTTGCTGTCCTCTATGATGGGCGACAAGAGACTAGGAAAGCAATCAGGGAAGAATACTTTGCTGAGGAAAAGTTCTGTGTGATGATTACTCATTATGACCTTATCATGAGAGATAAGCAATACCTCAAGAAAATTCACTGGTATTACATGATCATTGATGAAGGGCATCGATTAAAAAATCATGAGTGTGCTCTTGCGCGGATTCTCGTCTCAGAGTATGTTTTTTACTTATTCTTCTCACTGTCTTGCTCTTCCAAATTTCTATATGCATCAATAAAATATAACAAATGAAGTGCTGGATGAACTTATTGTGTGTTTTATTTTTTATTTTTTTTTATTGATGACAAGTGATAGTCTCCATGTTACCATTGAATTTCTTTTCTTTTTTTTTTTCAATTTTTCTCTAGAGAAAAATTGTACAGTAGTAAATGATAGAACTTGAATTTTTGTTGAAGTAGGAGCTAGTGAGTTACCATGACCTTGTAAGAATGTGTGCTCAATTATGGTTGGATGCTGTACATTAGTGTTAATGTCTGCAACTATTTCACGTTAATTCTAAATATCCCTGGGCATAGTGTCCTTGACCTATGGTCATCACATATGAATTTGAGTGTGGGTAACAATATCCTATAATTGGACATGGATGTGGGGACTCGATATTCATAAAAAATATTCTTGATTTTAGAAGAATTTCTGCACGTGAATTTCACATTACAAATACATACAGACATTTCAAGCTCACTTGTTTCCTAGTTCTTGTTCAAACTTTCTCAAGCCCTTTGTAAACACATTCAATTTATCACATCATTTCCTCCTCTTTCCCTCTGAAGACTTTTTTTTATTCAAACATGTGATTTAGTATCATTGGTCTGGTTGAAAGTTGAAGTGTTGAGTAAGGATTACATACCCTTGTCAGAGTGTCAAATGTCCGACATGAGTGTTTGAGACAAGATGAAGAATCAGAGTAACCTTATTATTAATTTATTCTCCTCTATTATGTTTGTCTGCATTTTGTTAAACTTGCCCTTTATGTAAGTCATGTGGCTTTATGAAATCGTGCTTGTATTTTGGACTTGAGCTTGCAGAGATGTTCTGTTATAATGAATCTGTGATCACTCTTGGTGAATGTGATAATTCAGAGTGCTACTTACCTTTTGCCTACTTTTGCTAATTGGTATTCATTATTGAATTTTCCTCACTTAATGCAATTTTTATATATATCCAGATATAGGATTCGGCGCAGACTTTTGCTGACTGGGACTCCAATACAGAACAGCCTCCAGGAGTTGTGGGCCCTGCTCAATTTCCTTCTTCCCCACATTTTTAATTCTGTTGTAAATTTTGCAGAGTGGTTTAATGCGCCATTTTCTGAACGATCTGAAGTTGCACTTACAGATGAAGAACAGCTATTGGTCATTCGACGGTTGCATCATGTGAGTGCCCATTCATCCTTCTAGCCTATGTCCTATTTCATAACACCATGATTTGTTTTGCTCATTAAATTTTCTGTGGTTAGGTTATAAGGCCATTTATTCTCAGAAGGAAGAAAGATGAAGTGGAGAAATATTTACCTGGGAAGACGCAGGTCATATTGAAATGTGACTTGTCTGCATGGCAGAAAATTTATTATCAACAAGTTACAGACATGGGAAGAGTAGGCATGGATTCAGGTATTCTATTGATTCCTTAAATTCTAGCATTTCTTTGCAGTGAGCCTGCTATATATTTGATCCAATGAAATTTTTTTACGCAGTTGCTAGTATGGTGTGCTTTAATATTTTTTGGTTTGATAGAATTTTTTCAGATGCTTCTCTCCTGTAGAAATTAATGCAGGATAAGATGGGCTGGGATATAGTCTACGGAGGGAACTTACATTGGAGGTTTAATTGTTAATAGTTTTATGCCGAAGATTTTTAGAGCTATATAGCAATGTGGTTACATACTTTTGTCCGCTTTCATCTCATCAAATTCCTGTCTTTGTTCCAAATTTTGCGGATGTCCTTATGACAATTCTTATTAGCTGACCCCAAATCATTTTGGGACTAAGGCTTTGTTTTTGTATTATAGCGGTATGGTTACATTTTCTTTTTCCTGTAGATATTTAATGGTTCCTTGAATATCGGCTTTCCTTTGATAATACATAATGCACTCTCTCTCTCTCTCTGAACATTCAGATGTGTAATGCTGAACTTTGGACAAAGAAGTAACTTTTTAATTACACATTTTTGCATGAATTATAAGCTGCTCCAGTACTCTTGGGTTGGGGATGGAAGAGCCATAGCTTGGGAGTATAGAACAAAGCCAAGCCCATATAACAGATCTAGGAAGAGCCATAGCTAGGGAGTATAGAACAAAGCTGCTCCATGTCATTCCCAGTGGTTTTTGACCCAGATCTAGGAAGAGCCATAGCTTGGGAGTATGATGGTTTCCTTACCTCCACACTTTGTCTTTTATTATAAAAACTTTCTGAATAGGTATCTACACAGACACACACAACACACGACACACAACAGAGAATACACACACACACACACACACTGGTCCCTCTCCAGTCTCCATTTCAACCCAGTAGGTTTTTTAATCCACCAGTGCAACTATTGTCAAAACAATGAAGCCTTTATCCACCGAAGATAGTGCAACACCTAGAATGTAAAAACAATGCAGCCTTAATGACTCGGATCACTGTGACAGCCATGCACTAGTCTTCATATAACAGTTCTTATTATACCTTAATTACTATAGATGTCTTATCAGATTCAGTTATCTTATCATCTAAAAACTAACAAGATTTATTTTATCTAGTTATATTTATATCGAGAGATTTTTCGAATTCCCTATAATTACTTGTCTCAGTTCTTGCTCCTTGTTAGGAAAACTAGTGTAACACACCGCACAACAAACCGTGGTAGGATAGTCATTAAGGAACAAAGGGAGTATATGACAAACAATAGTAATTATGAGGCAGTATTGTGGATTCATATCTTGAATTCAAGAGAGTATAATGAAATCAATCAATCAAACATACATTTAACTTAAATGACAATTCCCTCGATATTGGTTTTAGGATAATTATCTATATTGTCTAATTACAATTCTGATTGGTTGAGAGTGAGGGATACTTAGTTGGTTAGTGCTTCCCATCACCCGCCTTTGTGGCTCTCTAAACACTTAAAAGAAAAAAATTCCGATAGTTTAAAAATACAAAGTATTTGCTTCCTTTATTACACATTACTTGCAAGTTTTGGAATTCGTTATAATATTGTGAATCACAACTTAAAAACTTGCAAAAAAATGTGGGATAAATGAAGTACTATTGTATGAAACTAATCCCGAAACCCAAATTAAATCTTACTTAGGATATGTGACAAGTAAAACATAGATTCGATTAAGCAAGAATCAATATCATATATATGTACCACAATAATTATCGGATCTCTGGCAATGTATTTATTATGATAAGTAAGTATGTATGTATTGGAACTATTACAAAAGTAACAAGTGAACTTAATAATGACATATAAGCAAAATAATCTTGAATGATGATATTAGAATTCAGGATTACCCGATTTAACAATCACCACAATAATATTATTGCTTCATGGCACGTATTAAAGAGAAATACTATACCTTTGAAATTTCTAAAGATTAATAAGAAAAATTGTGTAAAACGATGATCGTAATCAGCTAATAGTCATTGATATTCGATTAGAACCTATTTTAGCAGAAACGAGAAATAGGAATTTTGTTTCTGCATTTGCTTTAACAAATATATATAAAAAAAATTATAGATTTCTTTTCATTTTATTCCTCTTAGTTGTAGCACGTAGGTATTAATATTCTACTACTTAAATTAATAATGGTAATACTCCTCCGGTTTTTTTGCTCTACTTACTTTCCATATTAGTCCCTTTTTTTTTGTTGTACTGACTTTGCTGTATTCTATTTTGAGCTTACCCTATTTACCATCTTACCCTTTAACTCCATATTAATTACACATTTACACCTTTCCACACTATCTTTTTAATCTATTCATTTTTTTCTTACATTCACCTACCTTTGTACACTCTATCTTATTTTATCCTACTTTATCTTATTCCCACTCACCTTCTTCTAGCATTTTCTTAATTTGCTTATCTATATTAAATGAGTAGAAGAACATAAAAAACAGTGGGAGTACTTATTACTATTATTGTTGAACTTATTGTAGCAACAACAATAACAATTATTGTCATTATATCAATGACACACAACAATGGCAAGTCATAATTGGAAATACAAATTTTTTAGAACATAATTTTGACTGTATTTATAACAAGAAAATGAAAATTGTTTCCAAACCTAGCTTCGTCTTTCATTTTTTAAGTTGAAAAGAATAAAGCCTTAGTCCAAATGCAATTGTATTTACTTTTGCTTATTTAAAAAAATAATTAGCTACACTTTGGACATTTAGATGAAAATTATGTCAACCATACAGTTTAGATTATATAGACAAATTGATTGGAATAAAGGTTAGTAGCATATTAAAAGGCGATATCCACATCACACATAAGTAGTTGATTATAATTAAGAGGGTAATAGCATCTAGGATGGAATTTTTCTGTTAATAGTATGTGTGAGGAAGAACTGGGATCTTCTCCTATTAACATAAATCTGCTACCAACTCTTAACTTCTTTAAATTTTTTGTAAATGTCTCTAAAGCGAGTGGGTGCACTAGAGGTAGATATAGCTTTGTTGCTTGTGTGGCATAACTTATGTCGTATTGCCATGATGACTTAGACTGTCACCATCAACTCCCCCCCCCCCCCCCCCCTTCTATGAAGATTAAAAAATCTCATGAGTTTTCCCCGCCATTAAATGAATGATTTTATACTTTTCTCCTAATATCAACTTGGTTGCTCTTGTTGCCTCATAACTCGTATATGGGGTGTTACACTTCATATTGGACCAATACTGCGCATAATTTTTATTAATGGCCATGTCTGACACTTTGACACTTGCCCTTTTCAAAGTCCAAGTAACATAGTTTTTTGGGAAAGCTTTTTGATATAGTCTCTACTCTAGTTCAGATCTTTTTTATTTTTGCCTTTGTAGCTATTTAGTTTTAACCAAAAGAACCCATACCTTTATGCGGGCTTTAAGAGATTGGGCTTGGATTATATGTTTACAGCCACAAGGAGAAAGAAGTTGCCCTCATACCCTTTTAGCTGCTGATTGGGGGTGTTTTTTTGAACAATGATAAGGACACGAAATGGAAAGAATGAAATAATGCATTATTGAAGCTGAGTAATCTAGGAAAATTTTCAATAACTTGAAGGCAGATTAATGACAATCCTTGTGTTTTAGATATGCATTTGATGTGATCCTTATATATTTGCTTGGGTTTGTTTTCTCCTCGCCTCTCAGCAAGGTATGTAATCGCCTTATAACATCCTTGTTGTGAGCCAACTTATAACATCCTTTTTGAGAAAAGCAAGCTGTGATGATTTTATAGATTTACTATGTGGGAACAGTCAAAGTCACTACTTGTGTGTGCAAGATTAATAATAAAGCTGACAACTTTGTTTGCCACCCTTAAAAAATGTGATTTATTTATTTTATTTTATTTTATTTTTATTATTAACTTTAGATACCCAATATTCGCATTAGTATAGAAAAGAAAGGACCAGCAGATATTGGTTCCAGACCTGGAAGTATTAATTGCTCAAGAAAGAGGTTAATTATTACATGACTGAATTAGTTATTTTGTATTAGGACCAGATTAGTATACCGTTGTATCTGAGTTTAAAACTGAAGTATTTTTTCAATTGCTCCCAGACATTGTTCTGCTTGTGCTCATGGGTGTTGGTCCTTTCTCATCTTTTCTCTCCTTCCAGTGATGGTGGAACTGTGGAAGTGGAGGTGGGAATTTGTATAGCTTAGCTTTGTTAGAATTCTTATGCTAGGTGTATATCCAGCGTGAGGGAAAAAGAAATGAACTTATGGCATATGTAAGGGTTGGAAAAAAAGGGGTTATGAAAACTGAGGATCGAGACCTCATTGAGCACAAGATTTGAGCGGTTAATGGAGAGGACCAAACTCATGTGGATGTCTCTTGATTTAGTGGGCACTTAATTTGTGCTGTTTAACTGCTAAACCATGTTAGTATAATTTATCCCACTGCTCTTGTGTTAGTATCTTTGATCTTTATTACTTCGCTTATATATTTTTGGTGGTGTGTGTTTGAAGACAGTTTGACTCTCTGGACCAGTTTGTCTACTACTGATAATCTGATAACTTGCAAATGTTCCTGTGTCTTTCTTATGTAATACTTTAACATTATCTCCATACTTAAAGGCATGGCATCTACTTATAGTGGTTGTGTTGGATGTACAGAACTTCTTTATTTGCAAACAGGATATTTTATGGCCTAAGAAGGAAATTTAGTACCATTAAAAAAGGGTAAAAATGAATGCATTCAGACCTTTAATACAGTTGATAATAATCCCAAAGGTTGAAACTGCCCTGCTATACAACGTAAGTAGAAATGAGTGCATATATATATATATATATGCCTCAAGTTTCGTTTCACTAGGTATTAGGGTATTGATGAAAAGGAACCCAATTGTCCAAAACGTAATGACCGGTGCAAAATATTCCATCTGTACAACAAATACATGTATGCTTGCCTTTGGTATGGAGATTATGATTTGCTGTTAAGTATGAGTTCAAGATTTGTAGTTGTTGTGATTTACTTTGTTGTTATTGGTGTTATTTTTGTTGTCGTCTTTATCATTGTCGTAGTGCCTTTTGGATGATCATTAAATCTATAATTGAATGTTGCAGAGCGAGGGAAATCAAAGGGCCTACAAAATCTGTCAATGCAGTTAAGGAAGTGCTGCAACCACCCTTACTTGTTCTTGCCAGAGTATAATATATGGCATAGCGATGAGATAGTGAGAGCATCAGGAAAATTCGAGCTACTTGATCGACTGCTTCCTAAACTGGCTAGATCTGGACATAGAGTTCTCTTGTTTTCACAAATGACTCGTCTCTTGGATATTCTTGAAGTTTATCTTAGAATGCGTGAGCACAGGTTCCTTCGACTTGATGGCTCATCAAAAACTGATGAAAGAGGGACTTTACTTAAAGAATTCAACGCTCCAGATTCTCCATATTTCATCTTTCTTCTCAGTACTCGCGCAGGAGGTCTGGGTTTAAACTTACAGACTGCAGATACTGTAATTATATTCGACAGTGATTGGAACCCCCAGATGGACCAACAGGCTGAGGATCGGGCCCATCGTATTGGTCAGAAGAAAGAGGTGAGAGTTTTCGTGTTGGTTAGTGTTGGATCTATAGAAGAGGTAATTTTGGAACGCGCAAAACAGAAAATGGGCATAGATGCCAAGGTAATTCAGGCCGGGCTCTTCAATACAACATCAACAGGTATGCTGCCATCTCTCTCTAATTTTTTTTCCCTTTCTTATTGGAGCCTCAAGCATATTTCCGTAATTTGATTTTTTAATAAAAAAAACTGGCATTGCTGTCGTTGTCCTGCATTCTTGTGCGTTGTGCCTACCATCTGAGTAATTTGTATTATAGTGTTTTCCATGAAATTTCAATACATTTTATACATATATTGAACTTATGAAGATAATGGAATTCTCCCCTTTCTTTATGTTCAAGGGTGGAAGTATGAGAAGTGGATAATATATTTCTGTGATAGAGACCCAGCAATTCTTGAAGCATCTTTCCTTTTCTTTTACCTCTCATTTCTTTTGCACATGTGCTATCCATCCCCTGCCTCTATATCTGTTGTTGTCAAGGGATTGACTGAATGCAGTTTATGTTTAACTCATGACTCTTGAGACGCTTGATTTATTTATGGCTCTTCATCTATTGTATTGTACCTTTTGTAGTCAAGTACATGCCATGTGAAAATTTTATTTGGTTCATGCAGCTCAGGACAGGAAGGAGATGTTGGAAGTGATTATGCGTAGAGGAACAAGCGCGCTTGGAACAGATATTCCGAGTGAGAGAGAGATCAACCGGTTGGCAGCTCGAACAGATGAAGAGTTCTGGCTATTTGAGAAAATGGATGAAGAGAGAAGGCAAAAGGAAAACTACAGACCTCGTCTTATGGAAGACCATGAGGTGCCTGAATGGGTGTACACTGTTAACACTGATGCCTCTGAGCGAAGCAAAGGTTTTGATCATGAAGTGGGCAAAATAACAGGTAAGCGGAAGAGAAAAGAGGTGATTTATGCTGACACCATCAGCGACCTACGATGGGTAAAAGCTGTAGAGAATGGAGAAGACTTGCCCTCAGCTATTAACAAGAAGAAGAGGAAGGAAGCTGCTTCCTCTGAGAACTTGAACTCGCCAAACAATAATCATGGAGCAATTGAAAAGGTATATGATCTTGGGGATGATGATATCACTAGTTTCAGTGATGGAAAGAGTGAAGAATTTCCTCATCCTTCCCCTCGGAAGATGAGGATGAATGGGCTGAACTTTGGAACACCCGAACATGAAGATGATGGCGGATATGGATATGAAAATGGAAGTGGAAGTGGAAGTGACGCTTGGAATTTGACATGGAAGACCCATAAAAAAAAGAGATCAAGTATTAATGTTTTGGGATCTTCAACCTCTATGTCTGAATCTTGTAGGGGTCAGAATTCTAGTGGCCGAGGAAACCGATGGAGTTGATTTATTTAGTTTCTGCCCTTCCATCGTCCCCTTGGAGGCAGTTTAATAGTTGATTGGTTTTCACCTGGGGATTTCTTTAGGATTGTGGTTGAGACATTTGATGGCATTGAAAAAGCTGAAAGGAGAGGATCGATACTAATGGCCTTCTATCAACCCCTGATGAGCATTGACGAAGGTTGAGAAGTGTATCTAAGCTGTTGCACCTGGGGACTTCTTCTGGGCTGGGATTGGATGATCGGCTTATATTTTGCTGTGATTAGTTGTTATTAGGCTCTATTTAGCGATTAATTGTGAAGCTTCCTATCATTATGAAAATCTAAGTAGCACTATATTATGCTACATGTAAAAATTAAGAGAATTTTCCTTAGTTTTGGTGGTAGATCTTATTATCTCTAAACTTCAGCTTAGGGTGAAATCGAGTTTTAAGTTAGAGGTTGCCAAAACGTGGTACAATGCTATAGCATGGTGCTCCTTTCTTTTTTTTTTTTTTTTTTTTTTTTTTTTAAGTTTACCTATGCTCCTTTCTTAAGCATAGGTAAACTTTGATAATATTTCAATTAACAAACTAATAAATGTTTATAAACATTAATTATCCCTACAAAGTAGAATTGAGCTTGCTTATTTGTTTGGAAACAGTTACTTTGTTATTTAGGATAAGGAGGATCAAACCCTCAACCTCTTATAAAAGCAAAACTAATTTACAATTTAAACTAACTACCAAGTATGTTGTTAATATATATAAAAAATTTTACGTAAAAAAATTTATATAAGTGCAAACCACAAAGTTCAATTAAAAAAAATATACTTTAAAAAAAATGAAAAAATGTCAAAAATAATATAAAATTTGAGCAATCCGTCAAAAACAAGTGAACAGATTATATGAAAGTATTATTTTTTTTTAAAACTATTAAACAACTTTATAAGATAAATAAAAAATTTAATCGGCTAAATAGGCCGTAGGTAAAATAACTTGTTTAAAGCGGATATCCTTTAAAGTTTGTATTATTTAAAAATAATTAAAAGATTGTCTTGTTTTTAGCGGACTGCTTAAATTTAGTATTATTTTTGGCAATTTTTCAAAAAAAAAAAAATCAATTTTAGTTTGACAATAACAATTTAAAAAGCCGTTAAAACACTAACTAGTTGATGTAATCAATTACAGTTTATGTTACAATATGGACTCTTGGTCTGTTGGATTTGGAAAAGAATCTTCAAGTATTCCAATTACTTTGTGTCCTTAGATGGAAAATTGGTAACTATACTAGTGTTCTATTCTTGATAACTGTTGCTCTTCTGAAAACTTAATTACTATGCTTAATTTAGAAAATTCGAATTTCGGTCAAAACTGAGGCGGGTTAAAAGGGTAACTTTTATTTGAACATACCCGACTTATCGTAATTCAATCCAAATTCCTCTTCATTGAACTTTTCAATTATTCACTTAAAATTATATTTCGCTTTCCGTTTCATTATTGCCAATTACGGAGTAGTTTTTACTCGTATTGTCCTAATCACTATAAACTAAATGTACTAATATTTCATATTTAGCTATTTGTAAATTCCCCTAAAAAAAAATGCTATTTGTAAATTGGCAAGGAGAGACAACTTTGTTACCTATTAGACAAGTATTTGTGTTTATGATAGAATATAAAACATATTTATGGGCCTCAACCATCAGCTTAAGCTTTTGGTTGAATTGGTCCTCTAACATGATATTAGACCTCTCTAATTTCTAGAGTTTTTTTTTTTTTCATCGATCTTGGTTAGTTCCTTTTAATTCAGCATATTACTTGTTTGTTTGAGAAATTTAGGCTTCGAATTGATTTTTTTTCCAGATTATTTTTATTGCAAATTCGATTTAATTTGCTCATAATTAGGGCTCACAAACCCTAATTAATTTTGGTTTAAGTTTGGTTGTACTGCGCATTATTGTGTGGTGCTGAGTTATTGCTTATGTTTTGGTGCGCAATGTTGGCGTGCTATTGCTGTGTGGTGCGTGCTGCTGCCTGTGAGGGGGAGTGCGTGCAGTCCAGCGTTGTGTGGTTTGTGCGTTGCATAGTGGTGTGTGGTGCGTGTGTTTTGCTGCTGTGTGTATTGCGAAGCAGTGGTGTGTGGTGCTACCAATTGTAATACTGCAGTTTGTGGTTTTGTGTGGCGTGTTGCTGCTCTAGTGCGTGCTGCCCGTGTGTAGTGCGTAGATGTAGTGTGTGGCGTGCTGATGTGGTGTGTGCTGCTACGAGTGTTCGTGGTAGTGTGGTACTGCGATTTGTTACTTGGTGCTGCGTTTTATTGATTGCGTGGTGCTACATTTTGTTGCTTGGTGTAGTGTTGTACTACGCTGCTGTTGTGTTCAGTTGGGTGCTGCAAGGTGTGTGTAGTGCTCGTTGGTGCTCTCGCTACTATGTGTGCGTGACTTTGTTTCCTCCAAGGCTGAACAAGTTTTTTTTTGTGGTTTGCAATTTGTTTGCTACTTTTCTTTTGGTTGAAAGTTGGGTGATTATTTATTTTCTTTAATTACCTATAATCGTGGATTGCAACATTGGGTTGGTGTCATAGTTTGGTATTTTGTTGCTTCAATCCTCTGCCATATTATATTGTGGTTTGCAGCTCGTTTTTTTTTTTTTTTTTTTTTTTTTTTTTTTTTTTTTTGAGGTGTTTCTCAACTAGTTTGGTGGTTGTTTGTCTTAGTACGTGTGGTTGGTGCTCTATAGCTCGTATCTGCTGTGTTGTTTGTGTTGAGCTAGTTTGGTGTGTTTTGGTTTTATCTTGGTGCTCGCGGTTGGTGATCTTTGGTGGTTATATTGAGTTGTTTGGTGTTCTCTTTCAGTGGGGGCTCAATCTAACCGCACATTTGAGCGTATTACTGACGCAGATCGTAGGAGTGTTCCTACTATCACCGATGAGCAATGGAAAGAACTTTATCTGTCGTTCAGAGCTCGAGTTCTTCGTCTATTCGCACCTATAGGTCGTTATTTTAGGTTGTGTAAATATCAGATAAATGTGTAAATAAATCAATATTACCAGACATATGATTCGTCCAAATAAGGTTGTCTCTAGTAGTGGTGCTCGTTATTTTTTAACCGGATGATTTTTCTCGTGCTACATGGGTGTTTTTGATGGTTGGTAAATACGAAGCTTCACAGTTGGTTCGTGAGTTCTATGTTATGGCTAAGAGTCAATTTGGTCGTAAGGTCAAGGTGGTCCGTAGTGACAACGGACAAGAGTTTCTCAGTTTGGGATCTTTCTAGGTATTTTACATCAGACATTGTGTGTTGACACGGCTCAGCAGAATAGTCGGGTTGAATGGAAACATCGTCATATTTTAAATGTGGCTCGTGCTTTACGATTTTAGGCTAAGTTGCCAAAATATTTTTAAGATGAGTGTGTTATGAAGGCGGTGCATCTCATTAATTGTACACCTACTCCAGTTCTCAAAGGCAAAACACCTCATGAGTGTTTATTTGGTCAAACACCCTCATATGATGGTTTGCGTGTTTTTGGTTATCTTGCTTATGCGGCTAATCGTTCTCGGATCAAAGACAAGTTTGATTCTCGTTTTCACGGAAGTGCATCTTTGTTGGTTATCCCAATGGGAAGAAAGGTTGGCGCTTGTATGACTTGGTTACCAATGAATTTTTCATTAGTCGTGATGTTCAATTTTTTGAAGATAAGTTTCCATATCTTGAATCTCTTCCGGATGAATGACGGATTTTATGGGAAAAATATTTTTCGAACCCATCGATGTGGGATTATGATGATGATGATTTTTTGGTGTGTGGTGTGCAATCGGGGTGTAAAAATTCTAAACCTATTTCCTCTGCAACCAGGTCGCTAGAGGACGTGCTCAACCGCAGCCCAACTGCGGCACAGCTTGCCCAGCACGCCTCCCGGCAGCCCCAGGCAGCAGGTTTCGCAACCAGGCCGCGGGGAAAGGCACCCAGTCGCAGCCTAGCTGAGGACTTCTCTGCCCAGCAGCAGGACAGCAGCCCCAGCACCAGGGTGTGGTGTTGCTTGCTGGGTTCTGCTCGGGTGCTGGCAGCAGCTGCCACAAGCTCCCCAACCCGCTGGTTTTAACTCGGGCGCTGACAGTGGTCAGCTAAGCAGCCCCGAGTCAGCTGGCAGCCCTGCACGTCACAACAAGAAGCTTCCCAGTTGCTGGTGGTCCTGGTGGGCTCCTATCAGCCTACTCTAACGGGGACATCCTCTATAAAATTTACCTACTCTAACGGGGACATCCTCTAAAACACCTAAGGGGTATTTGAAAGAACGGTCGGCCATTTGTAGAGTTATATTGGTAGCTTTTAATTTATCCATATTCAACTTAGAACACACAGATAATGGCATGACGCTAACACTAGCACCCAAATCACATAATGCATTATCAATCAAGAGATTGCTAATATGACAAGGGATAGAAAAACTACCCGGATCTTTTAATTTAGGTGGAGACTTATTTTGAAGTACGACACTACACTCTGCAGTGAAAGCTATTGTCTCTACCTCACTAATAGACCTTTTCCTCGTCAATATTTCTTTCATAAATTTTGCATACGAAGGAATTTGTGTGATTAATTCAGTAAAGGGAACTGTTACCTTCAAATCTTTTACCACCTCTAGGAACTTACCAAACTGCTTATCCAAGTTTGTCTTCAATTGACGATTGGGAAATGGAAGTTTGATAATTGGCTTTGGGGCATTATTGCCCTTATCTAGAATAGCCACCTTCTCTGGAGTCGTACCCTGCAATGTAGAATTAGATATGTTAGTATTGTCCTTTAGCCCTGCAAGGCTATCAACTACATTGTTTGGTTTAACGGAATCAAGATTAGCATTATTTAATAAAACAGGTTCATCAACTCTAGGCATAAGGGGCCCTTCATAGTTTGAACCACTCCTTAAAGTAATTGCAAATGCTTGATCCGTAGGCCTGGTCGGCTGTGCCGGCAGAGCTCCCTGTTGGCGGGCTTGTAGAGTAGCGGAGAGTTGTGCAATTTGATTATCTACAATTTTATTATGTGCTAGAACTTGATCAATTGTCGCATCTCTACTCTCCATGTGCTTTTGCATATTAATCAACATTGCTCTAATTTCCACCAGAGAAGGGTCAGAAGATTAGGAGGGTTGTTGTGGTTGGTTCTTCTGGCTAGCATTGGGATGATAATATTTCTGCTGCTGTTGCTGTGGCGCCTGTGGTTCTTGTGGTGGTGGATTTTGAACATTAGTACTCTGGTAGGAAAGGTACGGATGATTCTGATACCTAGGATTGTAGGTGTTGGAGTATGGGTTATTCTGCCTATAAGCTTGAAAGGCATTAACTTGCTCCACGGAACTCCTGCAATCTTGCTCCCAATGACCTATAATACCACAATTTTCACAGAAAGCCTCGTTATAATTATTATTAATCGCAGAAACATTAGCTACATTGGCAGTGCTCAGATTATCTAATTTTTAGCAAATAGAAGTCAGTTGAGCTTGCAAATAG